GACAGGGTGGAGGTGCAAATTGAATTCCAGCTTTAGCCTTTGTAGTTTTCTGCACAATCCATCACAACATTTGTACCTGAGCTGACGCGGTTTGTGTGGGAGAGGCTTGTGCCTGGCCATGCATGGATGGTCGGGGTCAGCTCAGCAGGTCCGCATCTCCTGTCCTGCTTCTGGGCGCTGTCGTCTTTCACCCAGACGTGGTTTTTAACTGGCGGGAAGAAGTGATACAGGGCACTACCATCCACTCAGATTCGGCAATTGTTAATTCGCCCTCCACCTGCACCCCCTTCGCGTGCGCGAGCGTGTGAGCGCGCGCGCGTGCGCACACACACACACACACACACAGGTTTTGTCTGAACCATCTGAGAGTAAGTTGTACACATGCCTTTTATCCTGAAATATTGAGTGTGTGTTTCCTGAGAACCAGGACACCCTCTTAGGTAATCCCCATGTAACAATCAAAACGATCACATGCAGGACTTTAGCGTGGCCACAGCTGTATCACCTAATGGCCACACAGTTTCATCACCTGCCCCAGTCATATGCTTTGGGACTATGTTTTTCTGATTCCAGATCCTCACTGCTCTCAGGGATCGTGTCTCCTCAGCTTCCCGTTACCTTGGAACAGTTCCTTGGCTGTTCTTGACTTTGATGTTTTAGACCAGTCCAGGCCGGTTGCTCGGTAGAACGTCCTTTGTTTTGGGCCGGGGCCTTCGTTCCTGAAAGTTCATACTGTACCGCCTGCTTTTCTTCACGCTCTGTAATCCTCGGTGGCCCTACAGGGCTGCTGTGTAATAGGCAAACGAAGACATAGGAAGGTCAAGTGAATGGTCCATGGACACATTTCTGGGAAGTGGCAGAGCCGGGATTCAAATCCAAGACCGTCTGGTCTGCCTGCCCGGCAGCACGGGTAATGACAGCACATAGACCCTGAGGACAGCCAGGTGTGACTCAAGCGCTCACTCCGAACCTGGCGTTCTGCTTCCCACTCGGCGTCTCCTGAGCGTATCCTTGCCCCAGTCCAGAAAGGGAACTGCTCTTATGAGCCCTGGTTTCCACATGATGACTGGAGGGGTCAAGGAAACCGCCCAGGGTGCACAGCTGTTAGCCGAGGGACTGGCTCGGACCCAGCAGCCTGTGTCCCGAGTGCACTTGTCGCCTCTGCACTCAGCCCTGCAAGACCTCGTAGAATTGGGGGCATCACAGACGATACTTCCCCGAGACCGCGTGGGATCACTGCTGCGGCACAGTGCTGAGCCACACGAAGGCTTCCACCAGCCCGTCCGGCTCCGCTGACCTTCCAGGAGAGGCCCAGCACTAAGACGCGTGTATGCCCTTTCCCCAGGCATCTTCCCCCGGGGCCTGCTCTCAGGGCCCCTTGGGGACAGCCGTCCTGTCCTCTGCTTCTGCAAGGGCCGTAGTCCACCTCAGTGGCATTTTGATGGTTTTCAGGTCAGGAATCTCTGTGCAGTCACTCATTTAACGGCCAGGTCTCTCTCCTGCCATGCAGCCCGGGGCCCCCTACAAGGTGGCTGGTCCTGGCTGTCGTCAGTGTGTCCAGTTGCCTCCGTCGTCCGGGAAGCATCTAGGTGGCATTCGAGGCCAGCTGACCCGATGATACGGGGGTCATGCTCACAGCAGAGCTGGTGATTAATTATTCAGTGCTATATGTCACACTCTGTGCCCTGCCCTGGGTGATACGGCCCTGCCGCTGGATTGTAGAGAGCAGAGGACATCTGGGTACAGGACACACTTGGAATTCCACTGGCAGAGACAGGAGGGCCCGTCTCTGCACCCCAGGCTGCCTCTCGCCCCCTGGGGACCTTGGGGTCCTGGGGACTCCCGATTTTTTTATTCATGTGAACACAGCATTGGACCCCAGCAGTGATCCCAGGTGACATCAGGGAAGCATTCTCAGCATCCTGAGAAAGCCCGAGGCCCCCGGGTTCAGATGCAGGGTATCTCTGTCAACTGCAGAGCAGGTGAATGTCCCGTCCTTGAGACGGAGTGTCAGGCAGGATGTTCTGGGAGTAGCGGCCATTCACCCTGCCGGCCCAGGCCCCAGGCACACGCTGCAGGGCTGCCCTCCCTCTGCACCCAGCTCGCTCCTCTGCTGTGACTGATGGATTTCCGAGGAGTGGCCAGGAGAGCCCTGTCACCCTGTGCCGGGCCAGTCCCCCCTGTCCCTGGCTTGTCCCTGTGGGTGGGAAGTGACCATACTGCTCGCCAGGCTCGGTGCCTTGCGGCAGAGCTGTGACCTTCCCGGGCTCTGACCACCCTGGCTGGCTCACGACTCCTTCTCACTCCCCCATCCTCCCCACCCCCCGACTCTGGCAGCCAGCAACTGGCTGGACTGGCTCCTGGGAGAAACTTGGAAGTTTTAGTTCCTCATTTTCCATGGAACATTGCTCTGTGTGTGTGGTTTAAAACATTAATTAAAAACATTAATCAATTTGGCTGCCTTGGAAAGAGGCTCCTTTCCTGCAGGAGCTGATGTGTCACGGCTGCTCCTCTTTCCAGGAGGAAGGAGTGAGCTTGCAAAGCACTGATGCAGCTGCACATTCACGCTTGTGCACCGGGCAGCCTCCCTAGCCCCCCTGGACTTTAGTTTCCAAGTCTGTAAAATGGGGATGGGGGTCACGCTGTGGCCTGACCTCCGGGGGTCACCATGGGTGCTTGGGGCGGGCCCGTGGGGATGTCCTGCACATTGTCCTGCATGGTGCTTGTAAATGGCGCTGTTAGTGTATTCGGCACGGTCCCCTCCTACCTTACCGTCTGTAAGGCTCCTCTGTCACTTGCACTCAAGTTTACTGCTGCTGGCACAGCTGGAAGATGGTGGGTGTTATTATCCACTGCACGCGTTCCCAGGGCTTGACCCCGAGGTCCGAGCGCCTAACACTGAACAAGTCATCGTGCTGAGGTAGGGATTGGGGAGGCCTTTTCCTCTTTACTGGGAGGAGATGAAGAAGTTAAGTCCAGAGCATTTGCTTAAGCGGCAGTAATACTAGCTGGCATTTCTAAGGATTCACAACAGGCCTGGCCCCGTGCTGAGCTCTGCAGAGGTTCTCACTTGAAACTCAAAATGAACCTTGAAGGGGCCCCTGGGTGGCACAGGCGGTTAAGCGTCTGACTTCGGCTCAGGTCACGATATCGTGGTTCGTGGGTTCGAGCCCTGTGTTGGGCTCTGCGCTGACAGCTCGGAGCCTGGAACCTGCTTCAGATTCTGTCTCCCTCTCTCTCTGCCCCTCCCCTGTTTGCACTCTGTCTCTCTCCATCTCTCAAAAATGAATAAACTTTTAAAAAAAGAAACAACCTTTAAGACGAGAAAGTGAAGCTCAGAGGGTAGCTTGCTCAGGCCCCTAAGAAGACTCCTCTAGGCCTGGAATGCTAATCCAGGCGGTCTAACAACCACGGAGTTGGGCTGTTGCCTTCTCCAGAGAATAAAGCGAATGCATTTTGACATTAAGGCACAAAAGTGCCTTAAAAATGTCCGAGAAGTGTGGGAGGCACCAGTGGCCAGAGTGTAGAAGTGCCAAGGATGCTTCCTTCTGAGCGGGCTGCAAGTCAAGGGACTTCCCTGAGTGCTGGGGGTTGTGCCCTTTTGCTGGGAACCGGGGCTGCCCGGAGGGGTGAGCCCCGAATCCGGTGGGAAGAGACAGGCACACCCGGGCTTGCAGAGCCGCCATGGGTCCTCCCGTGACACTAACATGTCCGGGGGAGGAGTGTGACACCCAGGGGGCCTCAGAGAAGCAAACTGTGACCGCATTTTCCCTGCAGGAGAGAGAAGGAGTTGACAGTGGGGAATCCAAGCCACCTGGCCGCTGCTCTCGGCTGTGGGGTGAGGGTGTTTCTCCAGCTGTTCCCACGCTTGAGGGTCAGTTCCCTTTCAGAAGTTGTCAGTCTTACTTTTTTTTTTTTAATTTTTTAATGTTTTTTTATTTATTTCAGAGAGAGAGAGACAGCGTGAGCAGAGGAGGGTCCGAGAGAGAGGGAGACACAGAATCTGAAGCAGCTCTGAGCTGTCAGCACGGAGCCCGACGCGGGGCTCGAACCCATGAACGTGAGATCACGACCTGAGCCGAGGTCGGATGCTTAACCAACTGAGCCACCCAGGCGCCCCTGTCAGTCTTACTTATTCTGAGTCTGTGTTCACCGGGCTCCATCTTCTTGATGATGTGGTGGCCAGGATGCCGGGGGTCTTCAGGGGTACAGGAGGGAGGTCTGGAAGCGGGGAGAATCACCCCGTTGTAAAGGTAACAGTGTGGGCGTTCTGTCGTGCCTCACCGTCCTTGAAGAAGAGTCGGTGTCGGACCCCCCCTGGCTGAGCACTTGGTCCTGCTTCAGGTGCCTTAGGAGGCCTTTCCAGAGCTGGTGAGACGAGCAGTGGCCCCCCTGTCCCCTCCCCCACCAAGCCCTTTGGGCCGATTATCAGTTAGGATAAGAATCCTCGGTGAAGCTACATTTTTTTGTTCCCTGAGTAATGCATGATGTCTACTGATCACATGTTACCAGATGACAGTGTTGAGCTCAGATAAAGCTTACAACGAAGTTAATCTGACACAGTTACCCCCACCCTCTGTGCATCCAGGGACAGGACATTCTCAGAACAAAGTTACCGGGTGTATCTCTCACGTCCTTCTCCCTAGAGTTCCTGGACTCAGGTGAATGAAAAAGCTTCAGTGGGAGAGGAAGATGTTATCGATGAGCCCGGGCTTCGGAGTCAGGAAGACTGACTTATGGTTCTGGCCTGGCCTCTGAGGGCCCTTCTGAAATATGTAGCCGTCAACACTGGTCTGGTCAGAAAACGGTTTAACGAAGTGAAACGTCGACCACAGTGCTTGGCACATAGCAGTTGTTCAATAAATGTCTGCTTTCCTGAAGTGTCTCATTTAGCATATGTTAGTATGTGCTTTGTGTTTTTTCACGTGAATGAAACATCTCGTCCATTTAGTGCAAACACTGATACTAATCATTCTTGGCTCTTTCTTGTGTATTTTCAGAATCCTGTCATACCTGGGATTTTGGTGCCTTCAACCCAAAAATAACTACACATCCATTCAGTACCCTAGAGGGACTCAAAGACTGTCCTTCCCTGAACTAAAGCCAGACCATTTGGGGATTTGGAGAATAAGGGTAAGAGATTTCTCCTCTTAAGCTTTATGGAGGAAAAGAAAAAACAAAAGGCCTTTGGAATCGGTGATCTCCGGCAATACAGTTTGGGGTGTGGTCCTTGACTTCTTGGCCTGGCTTCCTGTGCTGGTTTGAGAAGCTGGCTTCCCATAATCTCCCCTTGGCACATGGGGCCTGGTTCTCGGTGTTCCGCGGCCTCAGTGTTGTGCTTTGGCAGCTCGCCCTCTGTCCCTGGCTGAGGATGGAGCCCAGCACCTCTTAGGCGGGGTACCCCAGGCCTTTCCTCCTGGCAGAAGGCAGCTGTCCTGCTGAGAAGTGTGGGGACCGTCCTGGAGGAGCATGAGAAGGTGCGCTGGCAGCAAAATGCCTTTTGGGGCTGCCTCCTTCCCGCCTCTGTGCGTGGCACACCCGGCCGCACCAGCCAGGGGCTGCCTGGGGGAAAGGAAGAGGTGAAAGCCTGGGTTTCAGGCAGGCCCGAGTTTTCCTAGTTTTGCCAACCTGCCTCATCTTGGGTGAATCGCTCAGACTGCTCCAAGCCTCGGCTTCCTCGCTTGTAAGATAGGGATCATATTAGCTCTTGCCTCAGGATGTCGTGGGTATTGAATGAGATAGTGGAGATAGTTCAGCGCGCTGCCTGGTGTGGAGGCGGAAGTGCATCAAAATGGGAGGGTTTGGGGGCGCCTGGGTGGCTTAGTCGGTTAAGCGTCCGACTTTCGCTTGGGTCATGATCTCGCGGTTCGTGGGTTCGAGCCCCGCGTCGGGCTCTGTGCTGACTGCCAGCTCGGAGCCTGGAGCCTGTTTCAGTCTGTGACTCCCTCTCTCTTTGACCCTCCCCTGCTCATGCTGTCGCTGTCTCTCTCTCTCTCCTAGAAATAAATAAAACATAAAAAAAAAAAAAAAATTTCAAAATGGGAGGGTTTGCTTTTTAATTTTCTTAAGGTTTACTTAATTATTTTGAGACACAGAGAGAGAGAGAGAGAGAGAGCAAGAGCATGCGCAGGGGAGAGGCAGTGAGAGAGATTTCCAAGCAGGCTCCACACTGTCAGCGCAGAGCCCAGCGCGGGGCTCAAACTCACGAACTCTGAGATCATGACCTGAGCTAAAACCAAAAGTCAGACGCTTAATGGACTGAACCACCCAGGAGCCCCAGGGGTTTGTTTTTTTTTAATTCATTAACGACACCAGGTACGGTTCCTTCTGTGCAGCGGTCTGTTTTAAAGTCTTCTCGATTCTGGTCTGCTCTTCTCTCTGACTTTCACCTTCTGCCAGCTCTGGCTGGGAAACGACTTGTGCATGGTGTACAGAGCACCCCTGACCTGAGCAGAGATGATTACTTCCTCTGCCAGACTGCCGCTGGCGACCTGGGGCATGCCTCCCTCGGACCGTGTCATTCTCTCCCCAACCTGAGCCATGGCTCTGGTCACTGGTGAGAGCAAAAGACCGTCTTACACATCCCGACACCCACCTGACACTCGTGTGGATGTTGAAAGAACAGAAGGAATGAATAATTGAAAAGGAGGAAGCAGAGAGTAAAAGAAAGAGAGAGAGAACCAAAAGAAGAAAGTTATTAAAGACTGACAGCAAAGAAAAAGATCAGTTGCAAATAAAACAAAAACAGAAACAAACAAGCAAAAAAAAAAAACACACACACAAGATGTTGAAAAAAATAAGTAACATTGAAAAAAGGAAACCTGATTCAAGTGGGGACTAGTGAGAAGACAGGTAGGAAGTCGGGGTGCCGGGGTAGCAGAGGATGGTGTTCACATGCTCCTGGTGTCTTTTCTCCTGTGCCTTAACTATGTCCCGAGTGCATTTGTATCTGTCATCTCTTGTGTCCCCAGCGGCCCCGTGACACACATGGTGGCAAGCGGGAGACCCCGCTCTTCACTCAAGACTGACACACATGGGTTCTCCAGGCTCCCCGGGGGCCCGGGAGGGCGGCGGAGGGGCCCTTCTCCGCTGGGGAGGCTTTCTAAAGAGGCTGCTGCGGCTTGAGGCTCTTGGAAGGCGCCGTCGGTAGGAGCCGAGCTGCTCGGCCGTTGGGAAGCGCCCGGTGCACTGGTACCCCGCATTGCCGTGTCGGGGTCTGATTTCCCGCTTCGGGGACAGACCCTGTCTGCGCCGAGTGCAGCTGACAGGCCTCCCGTGGAAGCTGCCGTGTGGCTCCCTTGATCCTCGGGCACTCACTCAGCCAGTCCCTGCATTTTGCTCCCAGAGCCCACGCATCTGATCCAGGCAGTCGGCTCTGGAAGCGGGATTGCAGTGCCAGCGCCCCAGCCTCTCCTGTGGTCACCATTTTCCCCGTAGCACCTGGAATTGGGGGAATCCCGATTCCCAAGCTGTCCCAGTGGGGCGACGGGGGCAGAGGGGACTCCAGTCACCGGATAGGAGGAGCTGGGGAGATGCATGAACCGTCTCTTACTGCCGTAGCCATGGCAAAAGCGAGCAGCGTCGCCTACATTCTGTGGCCGGAGGAGAGGCTGGACCAATCCGTGTGGGATGATGGGAAAGGAGTTGCCCTAGAACTCAGCTGTTGGGGGCGTGTGGATGGAGCAGGGGGCGACGCCGGGCCTGGGAGGCGCACCGTCCAGGACGGATGGGGGCAGGGCTGGTCTGTGCCGGGGGCTCTGAGAAAGGCGACAGCCCCGTGCTTCTGCGTCTGGTTCTCCCCATCCTGAAGGCGCCGCCGTTCCCCTGGGGGCCCGTCTGCCCGCACCCCTGCCTTCCACGAGCCTGCTGTGGAACAGAGATAGCAGCACACCTGCATTCTTGCCGCTCGCTTCTCCCACCCTGAACAGGCCCTTTCCCGTTCTCCAAGCTTCTCCTTTCTCAGCTACATAATGGACCAGACCCCCTTGGGCTGGTCGTGAGGATCCCAAAGCTGGCCTGAAAAAAACGCTCCGCGAAAAGGGAGCCCTTGCTACTGGCTTCGCCTCCACTTCCTTCCTTACCTGTGTAGCTTCTGACGGGTTATTCCGTCATCCTGGCCCCTGCCTTGGACACACACACACACACACACACACACACACACACACACACACACAGGCTTGACTTCTTCCCTTGGACCGTCACCTTGCTCTTTTGGACTCCGCCCCTGGTTACCAGTGCCCCCTGGGAGCACCTCCCGGCTCCTGCCTGACTGATCTTCTTCACCTGTCCCCCGACCCTGACTTTTGGGGAGAGCCTGTCTGAGAGCTCCCGCCTGTCCGTGGCCGTGAGCCAGCCCCGGTCTCTCGCCACACGTTGCTTCCTGTGTTCGCCGTCTCCGGCACCGCGGGAACTCCGGGCCCACTCGGGACTCCAGGCTTCAAACAGAAACGTCTTTTCAGAACACCTCTGCTATTAGCCCATTTGACTATTACTCTATTTCTTGTGGTTTCATACTGAGGTTTTTGGCTCATTGCATTTGACCCGGAGTTTATTTTTAGTAGTGAAGACAGAGTTCAATGAATGTCAAAATGTGTGTGAGGGCATATGCAGAAGAGGGATTCATAAGTCGAGGGGAAAATGTGCCTAATTTTGTTTTTTCTGATAATATCTGCCACCCCAGCAGACGCCGAGCTTCCCCAGCTCAATGGGCTTTGCAGCAAGCAGGGCCTGGTGTCCGGGCCACCTCCTGAACACGGAAGTGTTTCTGGGGACTCTTTCGGTCCCACCAGTCCAGCGGCTGGCCGCACCCACACAAATGGACAACCGCTACGTTATCATTATGTGCGATAATTATTATGATTATTATTAGAGGAACGGCCGGGCCCTGTAACTTCGGCTCCGATTATCTCCCCCGGGGGCATCATTGTCTCCAGACGCAGCACACAGCTTTCTTGAATGTCAGCTCTTTTCCCTGCACCGTAAATATTTTCTGAGAAGGCTGCGGTCTTGCTGTCTCTGTCTGGTCCCAGCTTTTGGCATCGGGACAGGAGTGCAGGACACGCGTGGGCAGGGTTTTCTTGGGCTGAATTTTAGGACATGGGAGTTTGGGCTAGAAGTCGGAAATAATGCAGAAAACACTCCTCTTTCTTTCTTTCTTTCTTTCTTTCTTTCTTTCTTTCTTTCTTTCCTTTTTTTAGATTTGATCATCTTTTTAAAAAATTTTTTTAAATTATTATTTTTTAATGTAAATCCAAGTTAGTTAACATATCATATAACAATGTTCTCAGGAGTAGAACCCAGTGACTCATCGCTTACATATAACACCCAGTGCTCATCCCAACAAGCGCCCTCCTTAATGCCCCTTGCCCATTTAGCCCAACCCCCCACCCAGCACCCCACCAGCAACCCTCAGTTTTTCCTCTGTATTTAAGTCTCTAATGGTGTGTCCTCCTCCCTGTTTTTATATTATCTTTGCTTCCCTTCCCTTAGGTTCATCTGTCTTGTATCTTAACTTCCACACTGAGTGAAATCATATGACATCTGTCTTTCTCTGACCGACTTACTTGGCTTAGCCTAACACCCCCCAGTTCCATCCCCGTTGTTGCACGTGGCGAGATTTCATTCTTCTGATGGCCGGAAAGTACTCCTCTTTCAAGGGCTCCCCGGTCTGCTTTGGGAAACAACCATCTGCTTATGGACTTTCCGTTTATCAAGTTTCTCCATCATCCTTTCTCCTGTCTTTTCGTCCACGACTATTTGCTCAGAACCTGCGACACCCCAGCGTGCATGGTACCCACGGTGTAAAGGAGGGAAATGCCACCTTTATTCCGGGCTCTGAAAGAAATCTGGCAACGGCGACTGGCTCTCTGGATCCGCGTGCTGGTAGACTGCATGTCGGTGCCACCCCAAATCCATACACTGAAACCTTAATCCTGAATGCACTGGTCTCAGGAGGAGGGGCCTTTGGGAGGTGATGAGGTCACAATGGGACTAATGTTCTTATAAAAGGGACCCGAGAGAGAAGAGCTTCTCTCCCTTCCCCGCAGTGTAAGGACACAAGCCGGAAGACAGTCTTCTGCAAACCAGGACCTGAAATCTGCCAGCCCCTCTTGCATGTCCAGCCCCTAGGACAGGGAGAGAGGAAGGTCTGTCATCTAAGCCAGCCCCCGTGGGTGGCACCCTGCGATAACAGGCTGAGCACACCGAGACGCCGTATTTCACAGCTGAACGGACTGCAGACTCAGAGAGGTGGTGCTCGGAAGCCTCTCTGATGCCTGGTGGTGCGTCTCCAGGTCCAACATGCGGCTTCAGAACCCAGGCTCTCAGACCCGCACCCCCTGACCTGATCTGCAGGCTGCCCGGACGGTCTCTTTGGGGCCCCTCACCTCTGCGTCTGTGTGTCCGTCTGCCCCCTCGCCTGTGATCTTCTTCCAGTCTTCCTTTCCCCGTCTCCCAGATTTTTCTTCTGAAGATGAGGATCTTTCTCTTCACAGAGCATCTTGGGGGAAAGGGGTGAGGGGAGGCGCTGTGGCTGCTACCCTGGGGCGGGGGTCAGGGGGAGGTCTCCTCACCCAGTCCACCTCCCCAGCACGCAGGATACAGCCATTCCTTCTGTTCCTCCTCCCCTCTTCCGTATCCCCACCGCGAGCCGGGCGGTACCCCAGCTCTGCGGAGACAGCAGTGGGTACATGCGCCGGGGAGAAAGTATTCACACAACTGTATTTGTATCGTGTTACGGGCTAAATGTATGTATGCTCCCCGCCTCACCCCAGATTCAGAGGCTGAAGCCCCCACCTGCAGTGTGGCTGTATTTGAGTTCAGGGAGTAAGTAAGCTCAAAAGGGTGGGGTCCTCTCTGACCGGATCCGTGTCTTTTTAAGAGACTCAGCAGAGCCCACGGGAGAGCTCCATCTTCTCTCTCCCTCCATGTGAGGACGCAGCAAGGAGGAGGCTGTCTGTAGGCTGGGGAGAGAGCTGTCACCAGAGACTGCATGGGCTGGAACCTTGACCTCAGGCTTCTTGCCTCCAGAGCCGTGAGAAAAGAAGTGTCTGTTGTGTATGCCATGTGGCCCCTGGAGTTTAGTTATGTGGCCTGAGCAGACTAAGAGGCACGGTGGACACACGTCTTGGGCCACGGGCCACAGGCTATAAGGAGGCTTGATTGCCTTGACCCCAAAGCTTCTTTTTGAGTGTTGGGTCCTGGCTGACAACATTGAACCTTCACTATCAATCCCCTCTTTAAAATGAGGTGTCCAGTTGGGGCGCCTGGGTGGCTCAGTCCATTTGACTTCGGCTCAGACCATGATCTTGCGGTTCCTGGGTTCGAGCCCCGGCATCGGGCTCTGTGCTGACAGCTCGGAGCCTGGAGCCTGCTTGGGATTCCGTGTCTCCCTCCCCCTCCACCCCTCCCCTGCTTGTGCTCTGTCTCTGCCTCTGTCTCTCTCTCAAAAATAAATAAACGTAAAAAAAATATTTAAACAAGGTGCCCCAGTCGAGTGACCCTAAGAGCTATCCTTTGTTCTGTCTGACTCAGGGTTTCCCTAAGCCCGGCCCAGCTGACGGTTCTCACTTTGTGTCTTTCTTGCTCGCACAGGATCCGCTGTTTGCTGAACATGCCTGTGGTTGTGGCATCAGGCTCCTGGGAGTCGAGGCAGCCCTGGAGCCCTGGTCATCTTCTTGTGACCCACTGGGCTGCCTTGCTTTTCAGATGCGCTCCCCCTGACAGGAGCTGATCACGTCAGTCCCGAGTGCCTTCCCTCAGCCAGCCAATCGGGTCCCTCCCAAAGTGGCTGGTCCCCGGGAGCCCCCGCAGTTGAGATGAGGCTCCACTAACAGGGTCCCGTCTTCATTCGAGTAGTGGCGTTGGGGCGGGGCATGCGTGTGATGATAAAAATACCAATAAGAACAATATTACCAACAATAATAGTAATGCACATGTATTATTCATAGTGTTCCCAACGCTTTCCGAGCAGTCTCACTTTCCAGAACGTGTGAGGGGATGGAGGCTGAGTGACACACGCAAGGTGGCAAATGCAGGCACCTTCCCACGGAATGTGTATGTGACGCACAGTTTAGCACTGTGCGCTTTTGCATAATTTCAAGTTCCTGTTATTTTCTTTTTTAAATGTTTTTTTTTATTTATTTCTAGGAGAGAGAGAGAGAGACAGGGTGAGCAGGGGAGGGTCAGAGAGAGAGGGAGTCACAGACTGAAACAGGCTCCAGGCTCTGAGCTGGCAGTCAGCACAGAGCCCGACGCGGGGCTCGAACCCACGAACCGCGAGATCATGACCTGAGCGAAAGTCGGACGCTTAACCGACTAAGCCACCCAGGCGCCCCAAGTTCCTGTTATTTTCTAACGCCAGGCTAATATTCAGAAGCCTTTACAAAGGAGAGATCCCTCAGCTAAATCGAAGTCCGTGCTCCGCATCCTGGGTCGGCCCATCCCAGTGCGCCTTTCGGTGCCTCTTACCCTGGGCGCCCCCTGTCCCTCTAGGATGCTTCCCAGCTTGGGCGCCAGATTCTCTCCAGTGAGAAACCCTTCCCTCCCTGCTCTTCTGGGACCCGGGTTTGTTGGGGGTGGGGTGGGGAGGGGGCTCCAGTGGGGTTTATCCTCGGTTTGTTATGAACTCAGTGACAGAACCCCACGTGGCACACAGCTGTCTTGTGGCCTGGCTCCTCTGAGACGCAGTGGCTTCCAGGAGCCCTGTGCTGCTGCACTCTGGGTCCCCCTTGTCGCTGAGTAATGACCAGCCTGCTGGGAATTCTCATTCTTCTGCTCCCCTCGTTTCTCTTCCAGATTTGTCAACCCCGCAGCACTGGTCGTAGCAGGTGCCTGGGGGAAGAAAATGCCCACCAGGGGATGGACGTAAGCCGGCCTGCAGGCTTCTCTTCACCCTCCTGCCAAGATGAAACCTTGATTAAAACTAGAGAATTGACCTGTTCCGGCCTCGACAGCGTTCAGCTTCAAGGACTCCTACGGCCATTTTTCTGCTGCTGCAGAGCTGAGGCCCCCTGGCTTCCTGCCTGTGGGAAATCAGATGGACTAAGGAAGAGCTTCACACGAATAAGAATAAGAGGGAAAAAAATAATTTAAGTGTCACACTCTCTCTTGCCTCTTCCCTGCTGGACCGGGAGGGAACTGAGACCGTAACTGGCCTGTGGGGGAGGGGTATGTGAAGGGTCCCAGGAGGGAGTGGGAGATGATGCTTCCTCTTGGTGGTGGAGTATCTGCAGAAACTACTTGGAATCCTTCTCCAGAGGAGATTTGTCTCCCAGCCCCTGGGTCTATGTCTGTGTGTCTATGCCTCTGTGTGTGTTTGTGTGTGTACACATCAATATGGCACCATGCTGATATTTATTATACTTATTATATGCTTTGGATTATGGTCCACTATGACTTCATTTATTGTGTTGCACGTGTTTTTCCAGCCTTGGCCATTGGGCGCTCTTTTGGTTGGCTCCTATATCCTTTTGACATACCCCCTCCACCATTAGTTTTACACACCTCCCATTGACGTGGGAGTTTTTGTTTGCTTGTTTTTGAGCATTTCCTTACTTTCTGGCACTATTTACGTATTTCCTGCCCCACACCTAGAATCAGCCATTTCCCCAAGGAAATTTCCCTGGTTTGTCTTATCGGAGAATGGGATTAGAGACCAAGGCAGGGGTACTGGATGTGCTCATTGCTACTGGGGTGTCACTGCTCCTAGGCCTTCTCAATGACAGTGATGAAATATATGTCTGTCGGGTGGCCTGGGTGGCTCAGTCGGTTAAGTGTCCCACTCTTGACTTCGGCTCAGGTCCTGTTCCCATGGTTTGTGAATTTAAGCCCTGCACCGAGCTCTATGGTGAAGGCATGGAGCCTGGTTGAGATTCTCTCCCTCTCTCTCTACCCCTCCCCTGTTCATGCTCTCTCTCTCTCTCTCTCTCTCTCTCTCTCTCTCAAAATAAATGAACTTAGAAAATATGTGTGTGTGTGTGTGTGTGCATGCTAACTTGCATACACCCACATGTGTATAAATACTTGCCTGAGTGTCCACTGGGGCCTATATTAAGCTAACTGTGAATTCATACTGATGTCCCAGCTCTAACCCATTTCCACCTGCGCACACTGTCAACAGACGTGTTTTTCGGCCACGTTGCTTGGCAGGGGGTGATGGTGAGGGGTGAGGTCTACAAGTCCACACGGGCACAGCACCGTGACTGAGAACACTGCACTTTTCCCTGTGAGCAGTGCAGTCTCATGAGCAGAAGTGAAGATGAGCCAGACAGAGGCTCAGATGTGTACCGCCCAGGGTGCTCGTGCGCCAGGAAGCCGCCGCAATGCACACCCGCCTCCGCACAGCTAGTCCTAGGCCTGTGGGCCTTTCCGGGTCTCCTGGCCTTCCTGCCCTCCTGCAAGAGGCTGTTCATGTCACCCCTACCGCTTGGCCTCTCCTTCCACACTCCTGAGCCCCCTGGCTGACCCCATTAGCATGTGCCCTCTTCTGTTCTTCTTTCCTCCCTCCC